GTCACTTCTGGGTTCATTGGGGAAAAAAAAACTACCTGTTAGCTACATGTGACATGGGCACATGATACACAGTTTTGGCTGCTGTACTTTCATGATATGGTAGAATGAAATTATTTTGGTAAACAGAAGTAAGAGCAGTTTCCACAGGAAGACAGGAGAGGTTACTTTGAACTAGAAACACCTGAGAAGGCCTTGCATGTCGTAGAGGACACTAAGAAATCCAGACAAAAATGACAGGAGCAAAAGCGAAGTAATAGTATAGGACAGGCTGGTATAATAATAATAAAATAATAATAATGACAACAACAACAATAACAATAGTATAAGGTTATCAAAATAGATGAATAGGTTAATCTTAGAGAACCAATTGAATAGGTTCCTTAGAGAACCTATTCTAAGGATCTTACATTTTGTAAGATCTATGGATCTTTATTTTGTAGCAAGTAGGTTACAACTGAGGGCTTTTGAAAATAGGAGGTCCAATGTTTTAAGAAAATCACTGTGACCAAGGCTTTAGTGGTGGTAGTGGGGTGCTTAAGAGGAAAATAACTGAAAGCAATCTATGTAAAGGGGAGATTTGCCATCGCCTACGCAATAGGACGTGAGAACAAAAACAGTCTAAGAGTGTCATAAAAGGAATGCTTGTCAGATGTTATGGGAAAGAAATGGCAGATTTGATACTTAATTGGAGGGAGGAGTCACAAAGTGATTCCATAAGTTTCTCTATAAGAGAAAGAGAAGGACCATTGGCACTATCCTGAGGAACAATACAGCAGTGTGAATATCTTGAGGCAGAGTAAGGGTCACAATATTTATAAGAAAATAGCTTGCAGTTAGTTAAAATAGAGTCTGCATATCAGGAAAGAAAAAAAAAATGCTATAAAGAAATTCTGTGTTCAGAAAAGGTGCTACTGTAATTGTTTGTTTAATGGTAATTCTAAAATTCAAAAAGTTTGGTGCTAAAACTTATTTGATAACAAATCTGACTTAAATAAATATGAGTTTAATTATTCCATTCAGGGTCAATTCTTTTTGTGTCAGAAATAATATGTCTGAATTGTGCTAGACTATTCCACATTGTACTGGTTGGAGGATGTTCTTCACTTAATGGAGAATTTAACAAGTGATCTATTAAATATAAACATATTTATACATTCTGAAGAGTATTTGGCCCCATGGTTTTAAATAGGCATGGTAGACATGTATCAATTTCTTTTATTACACATTTTAATGAAGAATCTTAATTTTGCTGCATTGATATAAATCACAGTAAAGATGCTTCTTTTTATCTGAAATGTCTGGAGAATGAAGTGTTCTTTGTATGTGTCTGTTGCATATACTGATGCTTATAAGTTTCTTTTTAAAAATTTTTTAAAAAAGACTTACTTATGCATACAGAGCTGGGGTACAGGCCAGAGGTGCAGGGGCGGTGAGAGGATTCACCAGATACAGGGTGGAGAGCCCAACAGGCCGGCTGACGAAGTACACTGTTCAGGGGACCAGTGGGGCTGTCAGGAGAGGTCTGCAGAGCCATGTGGATCACCTCCTGAGCAGGGATAGAACTCCCCATAAAGATCTCTGAAAATAACACCTATTTACTCCATAATCAATCTTAATTTTCAGACAAGTTGAAAGCAGTTATTTGTTAATTTGATCAGGATTGAGAGGAGAGAGTTAATAGTATAAGTTAATTGTGACATTGAGGGCTAGGAGGGAAGTGTTCTACTTGCTGTGAGAGAGAACACCTGCCCAAAAGCAAATCAAGTTTATTGTTAACTTGACTAATCAAATAGTAACGCAACACGGTTCTTCAATTTTTGATATGCTTGCTTTTTACATGAGAGTGTCACATTTTCTTCCTGACCACACAGTTTAGATTTTAGAGCTGGTTTTTCTCAGCTGGGTCTCCTGCGGCAGGTTTACACCTCTCCCCAACCACCCTCTACCGCCCCCCTTCATTACCTGGCCGCCAGCTCTTTCTTGCAGCCAGGCAGAAAAAAGTTCTTCGCTGTGGGCTAAAACTCCCGTTTGAAGAACGGAGTTGGGGGTGGGTGGCTGGCGAGAGTTGTTCGGAAAAGGGTAAGAAAAAAAAAGAAGGGCAAGAAAAACGACTAGAGTAGTTACCCTGAGCCCTAAGAATCACCGCACCGCGGGTGTCCAATTTCCTAGAAACTGGGATTCACCCCCACCCCCACAGCCAATCCTCCCCGCCCCTAAGTGGAGCTCGTGGGCGTGTTTTTAAAGCTATGCTAATAGGCTGCCGGGCGGGCGGGGCCGGCTTCCCCTGACAGCCCCGAGAGAGCCCCTGGGAGCCGGACGGGCCATGCCTTCCCGCTGGTGACCGGGTCCTGGTGCGCTGGTCCATGCTGGTCCCCGCCTTTGTTCTCCAGCCCGAGCGGAGACATGCGCGGCTGACGATGGAAGTGGAGGACTCGGGCGGCGTGGTGCTGACTGCTTACCACTCGTACGCTCGCTCACAGCCGCCCAGCTCCGAGCCCCGCTGCGCTCCTCGGGCCACCGCCAGCCACCCCGGCAGCAGGTACCGACCGCTCGAACTGGGCAGAGAGTTCCAGGTCTTGGGGCTTTCATCTTGTTGCCATGCTTTCTGCCAGGGCATAGGGCCACTATCATCACTTGATTGTGACTTCAAGTTTTGGTGGAGTAGATGAGTGAGCCTGCTGTTCTTTGTATTGTCATTGATTGGAAGTGGGAAGTATAAAGTTAGCTGCAAAGGCTAAAGGCAATGACTAACAAGAGTTTAGCAGTGGAGTGGGGTTCTCCATACAGCATGAAGAGCATATGGCTCATGCCTCATTTCTGCCAGATGCACCAACTGAAGACCTGGAGAAGTTAAAAAAAAAAACAAAAAAACAAAAAAACAAAACCAAAAACATTTAAAGTGAAAGATAAGCAGAAAATGACTAAGTTAAAATACGTTACCCTTGAATACAATCAAAAGCTTCCTTTGTAACTGCATGCCACCTTAGCCAAAATTGCAAGAGAAATGCTCTAAAAAGTAAATCTCAGTAGACTTTTAAAAACAATTTTATGTCTAGATTAAAAACTAACCCTTTCAGTTGTATACATATATTGTATTACCACTTTATGATTGCTAATGTTTATACTGTAAATGCAATCTTAATTTAAAATTTTGGGTCTGAAAAGGTCTGTGTCTCACCATATATATTTTAGATAAAGTAAATCACAGATCCATGTTAAATTACTCTGTTCATCTAGTTGATGAAATTCAAGGCCAAAGAGAAGTCCATTAACTAAACTGAAAATGTTAGACTCTCCCCAGGTTTTCCTGGGTAGACAAAAAAAGATTACAATAATAAGTGAAATGCTTTGATGACTGACCTATTTAGGTGGAGCTGTATTTAAGTATGACTATTACCTGCTATGGATCCTTTGATGAATGGTTTTCTTTATAAGTGGGGAGTTTGACATGCTTTTTAGGATCAAGTTTATTTTCAATTTTTCCCTGGACTTTTATCTTTAGTTATGTGGTAGTGATTGCTTTTGTTTCATATTTTAATTGATTTGTGAGGCTTTCAACAGATTGTAACTTTATTTCAAGAATATCCTTTTGGCTAGTAGCCATGAGAGGAACGAACTGTATTGGCATGAGGTTTATATTAGACTTGGCTAACAAAGAAAATATTGTTTCTCCCAAAAGGAGCAGGTTGAGTGAAAACTATTTTTTATGCAGACAATGATACAACATTTTCTTTCTGCTTTAGAACTTGTGCACAATATTTTGAATGCTACTTGATACTGACTTGCATTTATCTTTTGGGTATTTTCTAAGCATAATCATTGTTTATACTCATTCATAGTATGAGTAATTAAATAGATTTGTGGTTTACTGAGAAGCAAGGACCAGATTTATGCATTTTCAGACAGTTCTGGTGTCTGTCACTGCCCTGTCTTTAACTTTCAGCAGCTGTCAGCCAGATCGTGCCATTTGGGCTGTCTGAAACTGCATCCATTTCCAAAGCAAACCAGAAGTTCCATTAATTCAGCACGTGGTCTAGTGAAATGATCATACATGAGCATCAGGGTAAAAACATCTTGTGTCATAGCTAGTGTTTTACATTTGAGTTGCCTATGAGATTTATGTTGCTGCAAAAACTTGCAGCATTTTTAGGTATGTCTCCTCTATAGGAACCTTTGTTCCTACAAAGTTACCATTGTGATGCAGGAGATACAGAACTTTTCCCTTCTACAAGTAATCACTAAAGAATAGCTTAATTCCTTGGTTCTCAGTAACAACTATCAAACAGAGGTCCTGTATTTACAAGGAGCCAGAGGACACCATAAATCATGAGTCAGATAACAGAAATAATCAGGCCCAAGTTATTAACCTTTGACTTGCTAACTATTGATCAATAAGTCCTTTCAAGCCAAGGAGCAAGATCATATTGTTCCATTTATGAAGAAAGAACTCTCTCTTTCAAGAATACCCATTCTTTTAAATTACTTACATATGTGTAATGTATTTGAAGAGCAGTGATCAGCATGGCTCTAGAAAGCATGGACTATTGTATCTGACTTTCATAATTTTTTTGCCCTTGGTACCATGGTTCAATTCAAAGTAAACCAGCCCCTTATTTTCCATGCCCAAAACAATCTGACTTTGTTTTGATTTTTGGGGGGCCTTTTTCTCCCCCACTAAAAGGTCCAAGTGTCCTCAGTTAAGCACATACTCTCCCTCCCCCCTTCTCTTAATTTCTTTCTCCCTCCCTCTCATATCCCCTTCCTTCTCCTTCTTACCCCCACTTCCTGTCTCCCTCCCTGAACATAAAGTGCCAGGATTTTTAATGGCAGTCAACCTCTTTGCACTTAGTATATGCCAGTAACACATTAGGCATTAGGGATACACAGATGAATGAGACAAAGTACCAGCCTCAAGAATGTCACTTATTATCTATTAGACCAATTGGATTTTGAAAAAAAAAAAAAAAAAAACAGAATAAGTGACAAAATTAAAAATAAAGAACCTCCAGATATAAAACTGGACTTCTTCCCATAACAATAACAAACAATTCAGAGGATCCAATAACTCAGGCCTCAGCTGCTGCCTGCCAGCACTGATGAAAGATGAGTAATAGGTTCTCCATTATGCTCTTCTTTCTGTTACTGTTCAAAATTGAAACTAGTAGCCATTGCATTTCTTTTTAGATTTGCCCACTTCATTAAAATTAGTAGCCAAGAGAAAGTATACTGTCACTCACTCAAACTTGGGGGCAGATTTTGCATGTCTGACCCTATTTACTACCTTGTAGCCTTGGGTAACTTTCTTTACCTGTTTAGAATAGTGTCACACAGCAAGGGAACACATACGTTAGCAGTATTATCACTTCTGATCAGTTGTTTTTTATATAAAGAAGAAAATAAAACATTTTTGTACCAACCTCCAAAAGTTATTCACACAGGAAAGCGAGTCAAGAGTTAAAAGTATTTGTTGGGGGAAGGGAACATCCTCAGTTACTTCACAAATGTTCTGTATTTTCATTCTATTTTAGGGAATGAAAGATCATGAAAGACTGTGAATTCTCAGTACTATTAAGACAAATGATTGGAATTGTGTTTAGAACCAGGTGACTTTTAGAGACCCTTATTCAGAATTCAGAGTAAAAATGTTGATATTCAGACAAAATAATTTTACTCAGAAAATGACAGGCATCTAGCTGAAGATAAAATTGGGTAACTTGTTTTTCAGAGATTTTCTGTTATATTCAAATAACATATATAACATTTTTCTATGAATATATAGTATGAAATGGCCATGAGTATTTCTGATGTTTATCAGAACATAAACTTCCTTAAAGGATACAAAAATAGAAAAGGAAAAGAACCAATTCTTCCTCAAAAACAAATACAGAAGCTAACCAAGGTTATCCTACAGCAATGTTAAAACTTTTGTAAAGGGGATATTGTTTTCTAATGTAATTATCATGGGAATGATTTGATTAAAGTAGACTGAATGACAATTTGGAATTTTTTGTGGAAAAGTCAAAATTTAACAACTGTATTTATTGGTACCTTCTTGGACTGAAATTAATTAATTAAAATGACATTTAATTCAATATTCCAACTCTTAATAACTATTTTATATATTTTATATATATTTGCATTTATGGATTTGTGGAGTAAGTACATCAACTACTGGGGAAAACAGGTCTTTTTTTTTTAGAGGATTCAGAAATGGATATAGAATTTTAATGAGAGAATGAGATATTTATAGGTCATGTTATGGGTGAAATGAGTTGGTGTCTCTGATTTCTTTATATTGCCATGTCCTATTGTGTGTAGGGGTACTGTATTGGGTACTGTTGAAACATCTGGCACATTTTCCTTTTTGTAGTTTGGTCAAATATTTGGCCAGTTGGTCTGGTCATTTTTAACCTGTTCAGATCTCCCTGAATAGTATATATTGAACACATACGTATATATAATCTTACACCATGGACAAGTTGTAAGAATAGTACAGAACGCTGTGTAATCTTCCATGGCTTTCTCTAATATGTTATTATCTTGCATAACAATAGATCTGTTAGCAAAGCAAAAAACAATTACACTGGTATAACTATTAATGTCAACTGTAGACTTTATCCTAAGTTCATCAGTTTTCCACTATAATTGAATTTTTTCTATTGTAAAATTGAATCCAGGATGTCACATTAAGTTTAATCATGTCTCCCCAAACTCCTCCAGTCCGACAGAATGCCCTTGTCTTTAATAACGTCTTTTTTGGCATAAGAATTTCCTTAGTTTGAATTGACCTAATGTCTTCTCATGATTAGATTGCAGATGTATGATGTGGAACATTCCATAGAATGGTGTCAGCTCCTCTTGCTTTGTAATATCAATGCTGTCTTCTTGATGTTGATGTTAGTTCTGATGTCCTGGTTTAGGTGGTATCTGTCAGACTTCCTACTGTAAAGCTACGATTTCACCTTTTGTAATTAATAAATATTGGGGGAGAGGGAGAGATATTTTGAAACTATGCAAATACCCTGCCTCTCTTCAAACTTTAGGGACTTTTGCATCCATCTGTGGATCTTGAGAAGTAAAATTGACTACTACGGTTTTATAGTGGTGATATTTCTATTTTTGTCATTCCTTCTGTATTCTGTACTTGACTTTGTAAACATACTCTAAAATCCACATTTAGTATTTTCTCTGGTTCTATCACTTTTACCTTCTTGAACTTTAAAAGATATCAATAGTCATTTAACCTCTTATTTTCATGATTTTGTGACAAAGTACTTTAAGCTGCTTTTATCTGGTCTGAGCTCATGAAACCTATAAACTCCCTAATTTTCAATATCTGATTTCTTGGAAGCAAAATTCTTATATAAACTTAAGAGAAAATTAATCAGAAAGGAACTGTTGTATTAAGAGAGGAGGGTAGTTGTTAAATTTCACTTTGCCTGGAAAGTATTACTGAGGCAGTCTTTCCATAATTTTTTTTTCCCATGTTTTTTAAAAACTGCTTTTGTTTCTGATGGAAAACATTTCCCTGTCACTAGT